TAAAGAATAAAAGTGAAGTGAGACCCTCCCCCCTTTACCGCCTTTCCCCTTCCCCCCGCCGATGGGACCGCCCTGAATCGCCTATTGTTCGCTTACTCACTGAGCTTATTGCTGGCTGAGAGATATTTGGTCAGTGCCTTAAAACGTGGCCAAAGGTCCTTCGGAACGGGATTTCGATCGATCTAGAGCAACAGCTCTACTGTCCATTTTGTCAGCACTTACTACATGTTCTTGACCACCGAGTAAACCGAGCTGACCATTCGATAGACTATCCCCGCTCCTACCCGCATGCATAGTTCGGCCTGTGTATACAGCTAAGGGATGAAACACGGCACATGTGACACTTAAGACCAGTCTTTCCGTTCTACTTTTTCTTATGGGCCTGATATTTCGAATTAAAAATATAAAATTACATTAGTAGCTGGATAAATTTAGGTTCAGTGATAAGGATTAAAAAAAAGAGAAAGGAGTTAATTCATAAACTTTAAAGACATAGTGAAAAAAGCATTATTTGTGAAATAAAGGGGCGGGGGAAGGGGGAAGACTTGATATATAATGCATAAAAGATAGAAAAAAGTGATGAGCTCCATTTTTAATATAAATAAAATACAGAAGAAAAGCATTTAAAACACTGTCTTCTATATATATAACGTATATATATACATATATATATGTATACATATAATATTCATGGCGCATACATATACATATAAATAAAGTGATACTCTTGGTGCATAGATCCTGAAGAGGGATGTTTCGGCCCATTAGAAGCGTATATTTTTTAATGGAACTGCAATAATTATGCACAGAATTGTTGAGACTTATAGTGTGGGAATAATGGGTTACTAATCCTTTTCGTCTGCCGATCTGTTTCTCTACTTGCCGTTACCGTTGGATATTTGTTCGGGATATTTGTTTGAAATGGTCATTTCCTGTAATTTTGTCCATCGAAGTGGCCTGTGGTCCTAAATGTTTTCCCCTGGTACATGATGCCCCGCAATTAGCCCACGTAACCTAGCTAGTCTTTCCTGGGGGCTTCGCTTACTGCTTTTTTTTTGCGAGCACGAGCTTGGGTAGGACGTGAGAGGGGGAGATTGAAACAATTTTTTGAAAATATATGAAAAAAAACGTGAACTTTAAATATTCAAAATTTCAGCTTCACAGCATTTGCAACAAATTCCAAATCAACAAGTTATTAGACAAATATTATCTGGTAAGATTTTTATTTTGCTTTATTTTCTGATGAATTCAAGTAAAAAAAACATGAAAAAAATGAAATTTTAGTAATTTAAAAAAAATAGTTTTTTTTTGAAAAGAGTTTTAGTGCAGTTTTGATGTAAAGAATCTGAGAAACTTCAGTAGTGTTTCGGGAGCAAAAATTCCATTGGAAAATTAGTTTATGAGACTGTTTGCATTTCGTGGAGTTTGACACCGGAGATTTTTTTTCGTTTTTGTATTGCGGTGAAGATGCACTTGTATAATTCCGAATTTAGGATATCCACCAAATATGTACCGCTGGCACAATGTATCACAAGGAATTGCTTATTATACAGTACCAACAGTAGCAAATCAACCGGTTTTGCCACCACCATCAGGTAACTTATAAAACATACATAGCTGAATAGCATGATAGCAGAAAGTAAATTGTGAGATTAGTTTTGATTTTTTGAGTTTTGATTCAAAAAACGCTGAAAAAAATTCTAATGCCTGCTACTTGCCATTGCAAACATTAAAAAATGCATACCTGATCAATCCAGCGGCTGTTTTTAACTGTCTGAAAACGCATTATGCGTTCGCGTACGACTCCTCATCTGGCAGTCTTATGATCAGGGAAAAGAGCTCTCGTGATTCGGGCTCTGGAAATGTGGTTTGCATATTACTACTGTAGCGATCAAAAAAAAAGGGAAGAGGGCAAGATGAGGTCAGATGAGGAAGGGTGTAGCGATCAAAAAAAAAGAGGGAAGGGGGCAAAATGAGGTCAGATGAGGAAGGTTGGGAGATAAGCTGGGAGGGACCCAATGACTGTTAGATAAACACCTTGGATTCATCTTCCAGAAATTTCATTCTGTAACATATATGTATATTGGATTCATCTTCCAGAAATTTCATTCTGTAAAATACATACATACATACATACATACATACATACATACATACATACATATATGTATATACATATTTCTTTTAGCTTTTACTGGTTATGCTACATCGCCAAATGGACCCCCAATGATGGCCGGAAATTCAGGCAGGGTACAGCAGCCAGCAGCGCAGCAAATGGAAATGCCGCGTATGCCAAATGGACCGACTTCGTCAGAATGGCCACCGCTTCCGAATGCACCAACCCCACATCCGGTGAGAGCATTGAACAAATTTTTAAATTTTGACATTTCTCGGAAAATACTTAAAAATTTGAAACGGCCACTGCTTCGCTAGTGATTCACATTCAGAACATTCTCCAGTGGTGCAGCTGACAACCATGCCATCTTCGAAAATGTCCAGAAAAATTCCACAAGATTTTTGCTTCGGCCACTTTTCCACAGATTTGGAACTTCAAGTCTTTCTGTTACTTGAAATCTTAAGCCAAATGCCGTAAAAGTCGGAACTTTTTGAATTTTCTCTTCCCCTCTATCTTCCTTTCTAAAATTCCCGTATTGGAAAATGTCCAGGAAAATTTCACAAGATTTTTACTTTGGCCAGTTTTCCACAGATTTGGAAATCTTCAAGTCTTTCTGTTACTTGAAATCTTCAGTTAAATGCAATAAAAACCCGCAACTTTTTGGATCTCCCCCACCCTTTCAAAACTGCCGTATTGGAAAATGTCCAAGAAAATCCCACAAGATTTTTACTTCGGCCAATTTTCCACAGATTTGGAAATCTTCAAGTCTTTCTTTTTCTTGAAATTTTAAGTCAAACGCGGTAAAACCCGCAACGTTTTAGATTTTCTCTTCCCCTCCATCTTCCTTTTCAAAATTTCACTGTGTCTGAGTAAAAAAGTCTTACTATTTTAAGTTACAAAATCTTACTGTTCCAAACTAAAATACTGTGCCAGTGTTCACCTCTCGCCTCCTTTCCTCCCAGAACGGCTGTGATTGGTCCCCTCCGCTGAGGGTAGTGAAAGAAGTAAACTCTAAGCACTGAACTCTGGCCATGTACAGCGCCTGTTTACAGAAGCAACTGCCCTGAGGCGGCTCTTGCTGAACACACCTGGAATATGATCGTCTTGAACTGCTCATAAGCGGGCAAATCCTCACTTTCCTCACTCATCACCTCTTGCTTTATTAGATTTGTTGCACAATAAAACAGTGCGTATTTTCGTGCAGAAAATTAGCGAGGACAGGATTCCTCTTTCTTTCAAGGATACCGAATAGCCCTTCTAAGAAAACGACAATAAGTTCAGAAGTTCACAGATCGTGAAGGTCTACTGATTTTATCACGATTGCGTCTTATTTGCAGGAATCAGCGGCAGCCGGAAGTCAGCAAACTGTACCCGGACAACAGCAATTAGCAACTGCAGCTGGAATGCCAACCCCAAGTCCGGGAACCGCATCTTCAGCGCCCGATGAATCGGTTGATGATTCGCGATCTCTGCCCGGTGCTTCACCAAATCCTTGGCCACATACACCATCGCAGATGAGCCAAGGACACGTACGTTATAATATTTGCTGTATTTTTAGGTGGATTGTGGAGTTTTCTAAATTTCTCAAAAAATCCAAATTTTTCACGAATGGAATCGAGAAATTCAGAAAAGGGCGTACTTGCAGGCATTGTGGGATTCAAGTTTTTAGCCTCAGTCAGGTTTCAATCTTCCTTCCCCGCTTCTAGCTTTTTTTATCTCATTTTGATGGCATTTTTTGAAAAAAAAACGGGAGGAAAAATGGTTGAGATAGATAAAAAAAAACCGGGATTGAATTTTAGCAAAGCACGCCATGATCTCATCTTAGTTCGGATGTTTCCACACGCTGAGCCCGACTGTGATAGGCCCTTCGATCCTGAGCTCCATTTTTAATTTCTTGCATTCCTAGCCTGCTACGTTTCATAATTTAAAAAGCATTCGAATTTTTAGAGAACGCCGGCACCAGCCAATCGGCCAAACACACCGGCTGTAAACAGAAGAGGTGAACCAACGATTGTTGACAGATTGGTTAGTGTATCTCAAATCAGACGTTTAAATATCTTGATAATTATAAGTATTCACATCTAATAGGAACCCAGAACGCACAATTTGACAGGCATTCAGATAAGTGTTCGACAGGAGAAAAGCATGATCTGAGGAGCACATCTCAAGTCAGACGTTTAAATACTTCAATAATGATAAGCATTAATATTTAACAGAAACTCAAAACGCACACTGACAAGCATTCAGGTAAGTTTACAGCTAAGGGATGAAACACAGGCTTCATCGTAAAATGTCTTTTTGTACATGACACTTAAGCCGAATCCTTCTACTCTACTCTTCGACAGAAGAAAAGCATGTTTTGATTAACTAGTGAGTTAAAACGGCCTAATTTATTGCCGTTAACGAGATGGTGATGGGTACAACGAGTTTCCCTCCAAAGGGAAAAAGTTAGAAAAACATACGCCAGGACCATCAACATACTAGAAACGAAGTGATGTAGCTTCGATTTAGTGATCATGGAAAAAGCTTGCTAACTGTGCCAGTACCGATGCTACTGATAAAACCGACTAC